ACACACACACACACACACACACAGCTGATAAACACAAAGAGCTGCAATAGAACAGACAGGGCTGCCATGGTTCTGAAGGAAAAGACGCATGACACAAACTAAGAAAGTAGATGAGGATGTGGATATCCTCCACAAAAGGTCATTACTGAGAGAACACAACACACAACTCAATAAAAGACGAGCTAACTTGAATTATATGCACGTGAAGGAAGATTTTTCCGATTCTGACGACATCAACAAAAAGCAAAGATTTGCACACCTCGACCCCAGATTTATTCACAATGGAACATAATGATTAAATCAACTAAGAAATTTAAAACTAAATTAAGGTAATTTTTTTTATTTGATGGAAGCAAAACATGTTAAAACAGTTTTGACAGCGCCATGTTAACCACTGTGAAGCATCCGCTCTGCTTTTACCAGCAGTCTGCAAATGTCCAGGAACTGAAGAGACACGTTGTTGGAGCTTTTAGAGGGGAATATTGTCCCATTTAATGTGCTAGTAGTGGTTAGGTTTAGAATGTTTTTTCTGGAAAAAAAAAAAGACATTTGGATGAGAGCATATGCTGTTCTTTCCAGTTGTATAAGCTGCCCATGCACCCCCATACCATTAGAGAAGCAGGCTTTTGAACTGCGTGCTGATAACAGGCTGAATGCTTCCTTTACTCTTTAGCACACAGGATGTGGCATCTGTGGTTTCCAAAAAATAATTTAAAACTTTTACAGAACAGTTTTAATACACAGTAGTCCCTCGCTACTTCGCGGTTTGTTTTCCACGGACTCGCTCCATCGCGGTTTTTCAAAATAAAATTGGACATGACACACAATTGGCTGATGGAAGAGCCACACAATCGGCATGGGATTTTTAATTTAAAATAAATGATTTTAAATTATTTAGCACCTGTGTGCAGCCCAAAGCTGAAAAAAAAAAGTTTCTTCCTGCAGCTGATCAGCTGATCTCCCCCCTGCAGCGGTGAAGTGGGTGTGGCCAAGAGCAGCAAGTGGCAGAGTGCAGTGGAGGGAGAGAGCTGAAATCATGACTTTCTGTTCTCTTTTAGAGGGTTTCGAGTTAGAAACATAGTTTAGAATATTGCAAGAGTGTGGGGTTTAAAACACCTTTATATATATATATATATATATATATATATATATATATATACATACACTAAAATAAACTATACTTACTACTTGTACTAATATTTCTACTTCACAGTTTTTCGACTTATCATAGGGCTTCAGGGTATGGATCCCCCGCTATAAATGAGGGATTACTGTAATGAATTGCAGATGGGTTAAAATATTTTTAAATTATTTATTATTATTAAATATTTAACAGTCACTGCAAACTTTCATGAGTAACCTTCTGAACTTGTTCCACTATCTTTAGATGCAGATTGTTGTAGACTGGTGAACCTCTGCTCATCTTTACTTCCGATTCAGCTTCTCTATTTGTTTTTTTATCATGTCCTCTTACTGCAGTGTTGTCAATTAATCTAATAAATTGCAAACTGCCTTTCCAGCCATTTTTTTTTTTAATTTGTATTATACGGCCTTTTGTTGCACATCTCGTCTTTTTTAGATGTGTTGCTGCCATCAAATTCAAAATGTCCTTAATCTTTCTTTAAAATAGCTTCTTAGTTTAAAAGTTTGATGTTTGCCGTACTTCATTGTGAAGAGATTTGCATTTTGTTTTTATTTACATTTTTCATAGCATCCAACTTGTTTTAAATGTGTGAATATATAGTAAGGATGTGTGATACTTGTCAAAAATAATTTTCATTTTGATGTTCTGAATACATTTAAAAGGGCCATAAATCTAGATTTTTTTTTTTTTTTCATATATCAAAACTAATTATCTAATTTAAACTCAAGTCTTCCAATCAGGAATCAGTTCCGTTTTCTAACAGTAATACACAATTTGAACACCAGAGAGCGCCATTTCCCCACTGATGCATGTTAAAGTGTAAAATGAACGAGAGCAGGATCCCATAAAAACAATACCTGACGTCACAGTGCGAGTGAGTATGGAGACAAACTGAGATGCTGACGTGCACAGAACTGATTCAAACATTTTATTTGACAATGTTAAACTGTCTGTCAGGTAAATTTTAAACCACTTTCACCACCTTGAAACAAAGAAATGCTTACCGACAGAAACTCCTCTGATAACCCAATTGTACTTTTTTTAATAACAAGCTTCCTTAAATAGACAAAAGGGTAAATGATGATGTCATGGGCATAGTTGAGCACAAATCAAAATTAATCCAGGCTTGACTCATGAAAAGATTATAAAATAAACACACGTTTGCTGAAAAAGGACAAAACGTGAAATAAACACCTGCTGGTGAGCTAGTTGATGCTACTAACCCAAAGATATTCAAAGGCTACAATATTGTAATATTTAACATGTAGAGGTCAGAGATAATCATGCAGCTTCGTCTCTTGACACATGAATATATAATATATAAATCGCTGCTCTAAACCAAACTTTATCTGAATAGACTGAGCTTTTGAGACATAAACATAATCTTTCCTCTGGTTTAAATGCACAAACCTCCCTAAAGCGTGTGCAGATGATTGATCAGTGTGGAGCGTTTGCAGACCTTAATAATCCCTGATGAACACTGCAGTGATTGTAGTATCTGCCGCTTGGCTCTTAATCTGTTGCATAAAGCAGAATCGATCGGTTCTGAAGTGTCGGCGAACAGGCCAAGAAGGACTTTGTGTAAAAACATGGAAGTGAAGCTTGTGCCTGCTTGAAGTTTTGATAAAGAACAATTTGCGGTTTTCAAATAAATTCATATTTGATGTCTAATATACAATATTGTATAAAGCCTTCTGAAAAATAAACCCGTTTCAGTTTGCCTGACATCACTTTTTGGCTACATGAAGACAGCATACAACACAGACTATACACAGAAAAACTAAAAACTGTCCACTCTGTATAAACTGTTAGTACTTGTACATTAATAGTTGAGCTGAATGTAAATACACCGACTGCTTCAGTGTACCGGACCCTCTCAGGAAGATTTGCTTGGCACGATTGTCATAAAAAGGGAAGAAACGCAACTCTGTCAAAGAAACTGAACTGGATTACGTTCCCTCGGACGGTGAAAGCAACACGAATCTGAATATTAAACAAGTCAACACAAAGACTGAACCAATGATGGAGGCGTGAACTGCTTTTTTATAGACAATATTCAAACAGCAATGCGGAAATATTTTAATCAGAAATGATAAGTTGATTAGAACTTTACACAAGAAAACGTTGAAATGATGGTTTAACAGTTTACACGTTGGAGACTTGATAAAAAAGGGACTTTTGTGTGAAGAGAAAGAATTAAAATAACAGCAGCAAATGAGAATTATTACGTCTATAAAAACAGCTTAAATTATGAGAAATAACAGCAACAATCTGTATGTAAAGGAAAAAAATAGGATTAGCTCAACAGGAGTCTGATTAAAGACGAATTACAGACTCCATTTTTAAACATGCTGAAGGATCAATGAGGTTTAAAAAAAATCAAATTATATATTTAGTTGTTTTGCTTGTACTGTGTTTGGTATGTCTGTTAGCAAAATAGTTTAAGAATCATTGGACTAATTTTAGTGAAACTCCCAAAAAGCAATCAGTGGACGTGCATCAACAATTGGTTCACTTTTGGAGTCAAGATGGCTGCCACAGCAAAATGACTTTAAAAACACAAAAAAATGGTTGTTATTCTATAATTTAAAAAAAAAAGAGCTATAATTTGGAGTGGTTGTCGCTGAGAGTCATTCACAACACATACACTCCATAAACGAGCATTAACTGGGAAAGTTAACCGTATTTGTCTGTTAGCAAAATATCTCATGAACCACTAGTTAGATTTTACTTTTTCACTTTTTGATGTTCATGGATGCTACAACAGATTCAGCTTTGGAATTAATCCAATTCAAAATGGCTGTCAAAACTGGCAACAACTATTTTCAATTATCCAGAAAATGAGGTCAAATATGACATGGCAGCTGACAGTAATAATGGATCGTTTTAGAAATTTGTCTGAAAATACATTTTTTTAAATATCCAAAACATTAAGAAAAAAAATATAGGGATGTACGATATTATCGGCATGGTATCTGTATTAGCGATAAAATTAAATATCGGATATCGGCCAGTCCATCAAAATAACTCACTGATATAAAAGGCTTCTGTTGTAAGTTCATTTTTAATTTAAGAAACTGTAAAATATATCTATTAATGCACTACTTATGTGCTTTTCACATGTTGCTTGTGAACAGATTCTGTTTAGATTTGTGAAAATTTACAAATTTGCACTGTTTGAGAGTTGTCGTCATGATTAAATTTGACATTAAACATAATCCAAGTTGAAGTTTTGCATCATTTTCAGTCCCTTTTTGGCCTCTGGTAGCAGCCAAATTGACAAAGACCATGCGGAATAATGTGGTATTTTAATTCCACAGCAGAGAAAGCTATGTGGTCTCTGTAAGTAGCTCTAGGGAAAAAATATCGGTATTGGTATCGGTTATTGGCCAAGTAAGTTTTAACATATCAGCCAAAAATCCAATATCATGCATCCTTAAAAAAATATTTTCATAAACGTGTTCTATGGCAGAAAAAGTGATGAAAAAAAAATGCAAAATGTACCTTTAATAACAAATAAGTTCAACTGTTTTCTAATTGGTAGCTATATTCCAAGAACAATTTTACATCAACGTCTCCAGTTGATTAATATTTCAGTTCCAAACCTTTTTTTTTTTTTTAACCAAATGATTCATTCAAACCCTAAAAAAAAGAGAATTCCTTTAAAGCCATATACTGTGTAAGCAAAACATTTTATATTTAGCTTTTGTTATAACACATGTACAACGATGCGAGTGTGGACAAACTTGCATAGATGAAGTGTTACAGCACAGAGCAGTGAACTGAAACACGTTCTTTTACATTTACCCTTTCAGATTCTCTGACGTCCCTACAGGGACGAGCTCGTTGCTGTCAGGAAATATAACCAACAAATCCTAAACTCTGACCACTAACATATGCAAGTTTGCAAGGGTTTGTTAAAAGTCTTGAAAAAAACAGAAGGTGGGCTTGAACTTTGGATCCGATGACTGAACAGATGCTTCTTTAAAAAAATGCATCCACAACACGATTAAAGAGCTTTTGTACACAGCAGCTATGAAGAGAGTGGCATATGGGTGACATCATAGAATCATCTGAAGGTAAAGGGCTTCACTTCCTGTCTGTGAGGCTTTACGAACGCCTAATGAACATGCTTTCCCCGGATTTACTAGAATTTGATGCTCACAGGGGGAGATGCCTCATTTAGGCTCTTCTGGATTTAAGGCTAAAAATTCCTATTTGGCTAAACCATCACCTTAGGTCTGAGTTAGAGGAGACATCATTTTTTAACGAAGCGTTAAAAAAAAGGCATTCAACTACGGCTGCACTCAAAAGGGGAGCGCCGCATTTATTTACAGTAACAGCTTGATCAATATCTGGAGGCGTTTGAAAGATTCATATGGGAATAAATGATGGTAAAGCCAAATAGTCATCGTATTCATAGTTGAGTGGCAATCCTCTTTCGTATAATACATCTTTAACACGCTCGCTGGAAAAAGACTGAAAGGTACAACACGTAGACACGACTCTTAGCACGGTTCTATTAAAAGCGTAAGATTATAAAACATTGACATCATCGAGAGGACGTGCTGTACAGGGAGTTGAGTGACAGCAGCCGCCCGAGCGGACGCCCAACATGCGCGGTGCAGCTCTCCTCTGCTACGCTGAATCTGTGGAGCTACATGTGTGTGTTGGGAGAGAAAAAGCTTTTTTTTTGTGTGTGCGAGTGTCTGTACAACAAACCAACAAAACAGAGCAATAAAAGTAAAAGTTCTTCCTCAGGTGGATCCTGACGAGAGAAAAGCATCTTCTAATGTTTCCCACCAAAATACGAGACAAAACCCTGACAGGGCGGCACAGACCGTCTGCACATCCCCAAAGCCATCGAAATCTTACAAACATGGACGCAATGTTCGCTTGGTCTCACTCTTGCTCACCTTTGACCTTGCGCCTCTCATTAGAGGAACATCTACTGTTTAATGGCCTCCTCACAGAGCGATGAATCCCAAAGCAGTCAGGGAGGGTGCAGCCCGAGCCCTAATGAAATGAAGCTTTCCCAAAAGCTGCTGGGAGAAGGAGAATGGAACGTGGTGAAACGGACAAAAGTAAGATCCTTGAAAGTGGCTCCACGTCAACTTTGATGCGATGTTTAGGTTGGCAGTGGGTCGTCATCGCCTTTGCTGCATTTGCACTTGCAGCAGAGGACTATGGGAGTGGCCAGGAGGAGGAAGGGGGAGGCAACGAGCAGGAGCAGGCCGAAGCCAGCAAAGATGCCCACGACCTGAGGGGACGCCACAAAAACAACAAATAAACAAGGACAAGATCAACGCCAAGTTTACTTCTGATTTGTTCCAAATACTTTAAAATAAACAAATAGCTACTAAACTCTCTACTAGGATATTTATTTTTGATTTACTTTATTTCTTGTTTAGTTTATTATGTTGTATCAAATTACTGCAGTAGCATAAATTGGCCAGCAGAGGGCAGGACTTGTAAGCCAAAGCGACTGATTTATTTATTTTCCATATTTATAAACCAATTTTTGACTGAGATATGAACGTTTTCATTTATTCTGACTGAAAATATTGAACACTATCATTTTCAGCCGCTATATGGCACTCAAGTAGCATGGCATGCTGTTGTATCCTGTAATAGTTAAAAGTGGCTATTAATGACACAGTCAGCTTGCCATACCCTGCCACCTTTGTTCTGCTCCCTCGAAACAACCGTCAAATCAGCTTCATTTGGCTGCACCATCCCGACAAAATGCAGCTAATTTGACCATTAAAGTGCATTTATTAAGTAAAAAGTTAAGTCTGGCAGCACGGCAGCTCAGTGGTTAGCACTGCTGCCTCACAGCAAGAAGGTCCTGGATTCAATCCTTGGTTGGACTTGGGATCTTTCTGTGTAGAGTTTGCATGTTCTTCTCGTGCTTGCGTGGGTTTTCTCAGTGTACTCTGGTTCCCTCCCACAGACCAAAAACATGCATGTTAGGCTGCCTTCAGGCCCAGGTCTCCCTTGCAAAAAGATCTGTGTCAATGGGATTTGCCTGGTTAAATAAAGGTTAATAAATAAAAGTTCAACTGAATTTTGCGGTATTGCACTTGATTGTTGAATTATTCGTTGTCATTTGGCTTTCTGTTTTACAATGATGAGGTTAAACCAGGATGACATATTAAAAGTTAAAATGAATTCAATCGGGGACTTGTAATTCAAGGTCAGATTGCTCCTGTTGACCTTGAGATATGGAGGTTTTTGGCAAATTGCAAAGTCACACATATTTGAACCAAAACTATGTAATTCTCAAATCAAAAGGCACAAAAGATTGTTGACAAGCCACTTGTGCTAAAGTTGTAAAATCAATAATAAACACCCTTGTTGCACATTTTAGACACTTTGGTGGCAAAAAAATGTAATTATTTTTTTTTTTGGACCCTCCTATAATGTGCAACTCATCAGATTTGCCACATGGGGTAGCCAGATGCCTGCAAATTCAAAGCTAACAAAAAGCTACATAACAGGTCACATGGGAGCGTGTCTTGGAACAGAACAATAATTTTCCTACTTTTTGGAGGACGAAATGGGAATATTCTGAATCACATGTTGAGTTTTATGTTTTTTAACAACAGACTGCTGTAATTTTTCTAAACAGATGGAAGACGACTGCATAAAGCACAGCTTGTTCCTGTTACCAGATCATGAAGGTTTTATGTTTAAATTATGACGCTCTCATAGAAGTTTTAACCCTTCCAGCTCATAAATAGTTAAAGGTGAGGTTCACTTTGTGCTTTTTGTCTTCATAAATGCATGACAGGGGACACTTTGATGTAAAACAGTAAAACTGGGGTGAAAAAAGAACAGGAAGCAGACGTACGGAGCTGAACTGTAGTCACATGACCCGGTCAGCCCCACTAGGCAACAGATGCCAATGTGTATGCTGAGGAAACAACCGTGGCGTGAATAGCAACTGAATAAAAGAGGTTAAAACAAATTCACAAGTAGAGAAAGTTAATGTCATACTTGACGCTTCATATGTGATCCATCATTTTATGCCAGATCCATTCCAGTGTTATTTATTTGCATTTCTTTCTTTCTTTTTTTTGTTGTTACGTAAACGCAAAAATAACCCTGGTTACGTAAACCTGTTTTAAACGGGAGAAAATAACAAAAACTAACCCTTTGCTGCAGCATGCTGCTCAAATTGGTCTTGGACTATTGTGCGGTCAGAATAACACGAGCCCATCATAATACAGGGGTATCGGGGCCAAAGGACAGAGAGAAGCACAACAAGGAAGCATGTTTGTTGCCACATGCAAGAAAAGGTGGGGCAGCTGCAGAGTCACGCACGCTCCAGGGAGGGTGGGTGTTCTCACCTGTGTTCTGTGCCAGATAACAGACGCCCTGGAGTGGCCCAGTTTGTTCCGACAGGGCCCTTTGTCGTAGTGGATCAGCAAAAAGTCATCCTGTCACAAACACACACACACAGATGAAGGCTGCCCATTAGCTACCTGAACAACGTGGGAGGCTCTTTAGATGAAACGGCTTTTTGAGTGACCTGGGTGGTCCAGACGTCCCTGGTAAGATTATATAACATCAGCCGAAGTTTTGCAACAAGTTATAACAAAATGCTCGTTATAGTTTCCATCAGCTTATAAGATTACCTTAAAGGAGAGTTTTATTGACAGGTTTTATTGTCAGCTATCTGTAGTCAGGCAATTTGTAAACACGGTGTTGCAAAGTCATTCGGTATTTTAGCGACAGAATAAATGTTTCACCAGGTATCAAGTCAACAAATATGATCCAACTCACGTCCAAGGACTCCAGACAGTACCAGCAGAAGGCGTGTTTGCAGTTCTTGCACATCATCTGTGCGCAGCCCTCGTCCCGCTCGATGTAAACTTTACACTTCGGACAGCGTTTGATTGGAGCGTCATCATCGTCATTCTTTAAAAAAGAGCTAAGAAGGCACAGGAACCGAGGTTATAACCTTAAAATGTAATAAAAATGTTTACTCTTCATAACCTCACTTTAGTCCAGCAAGTTAGTGCAGACCTAAAAAAGTTATTTAGTTGAATATGTACCATGAATAGGCCTGTCACAATAACAAATTTTGCTGGGCAATTAATTGTCTCAGAAATTATTGTGATAAACGATAATATTGTTTGAAATTTGACAATAATTAGTAATTATTGTCAAATTTAAGAATGTTGGTTAATTTTTTGTGTAGTACTTTTTTTGACCACTGGATGGCAGTATAAGACAATTTGAACTGAAGGATGGATAGTGAGGGAGCGAGCAGCGAGTCTTAAGAAAAATGAGAGGGAGGCTCCTTGACGTGACATGGTCTGTCTCTCGTTCCTGTTTTTTGGTTCTCAAAATGGTGGACGCTAAGTGTGGTTTAAGCTCTTTAGCATAGCATTTGTCACACAAAGATTTAAATAAAAAAAAAAATCAGTAAACAAGTTCTCCGCTTCTTCTTGCAGAGAAAAACAACTTTTTTAGACGAAGGAACGGGTTTCAATCGTGAATTTTGGAGCTTCGACTAGATGGAGGCTTTTTCCCCGAGCTTGGCCTGTTAGCTTAGCTTGTAGCTTAGCTGCTTTTAATGATCCAAAAATGTGATTTTGGATTAAAACAGATTTTAAAGAGAAAGGAAGAGGTCAGTGAAGAGTACCGGAGTTGAGCCTTTTGTCATCCAGTGTCCAGTAGAAAGAGTGAGACGAAGAACTGATAAAGCCACTAAATGAAAATCAGGTTGATAATTTTAATTTATAAACGATTAATTGATTTACTGTTTATCGTAACAGACCTAACCATGAAGCTCCAAGAACCTAAAAAAGTACAATTGGAAGAACAGTACAAATACTTTACTAGATATAAATTTGAAGCAGTACCTGTTTTCTCCTGGTAGGAAGGAGGTGATGGGCAGGTTGCTCTCCTGGCAGGCCTGACCCGGGTGCCAGTTGGCCTTACAGGCTGAACAGAACTCCAGGGCACAAACAGCACATTGGACCAACTGGGGCAAAGCTGGAGAGTCAGATTCTTTAAGCTGGCACACGGCCTGGCAGGTCGAGGAGGGGCACCAAGTCCGACACGGGTCCAACAGCACCTCTGATGGAACAAATGCCACGAGTGCAGCCATATGAAAGAGAAAACAAACGGACACAGAATCCGACATAAACGTTATCTTCCAAATCTTTGTAAAAGATCAAAACTGTATCTTCTGTTGTAAATATTCATCAGTGTTCTGCTGATTCTCCAAAACTTTTGCATCACTTTTCAAAGATGCAATAATTTTTGACGAATTTTACTTCTTTGTAAGAATCTCTGCCTTGGTTTTTTTTGCACTTGTGCACAATAATTCACGCCTGCATGTGAGATGTGTTTGTTTTATTTACAGCTTATCCCTGTGTTAATAAAGAACCTGTCGGGTGACGGCCATCCAAAAGTGATTGCACAGCTTGATTCCTGGCATCTTCTCAAAATTATAAATTACAGAGCCCATGTTCACAATGTGAAGCAAAATGACACAGTGATATTATGCTAACAGCACAAATATTTAAAGTTAATATTAATTGCAAATAATAAAACATACAGACATCAAATGTAGGAGGGCTTAAAAGGCCAACAAGATCAGACATTTTTAGGGATGCACGATATTATAGGCATGGTATCGGCCGATATTATCGATAAAGTTAAATATCGGACATTGGCTATTCCATCAAAATAACTCACCGATATAAAAGGTGCTGTTTATTTTATATATAGTATATAGTTATAAAGTGTAATATCATTTTAAGCCCCTTTTTGGCATCTGCATTTGGTACCAGGCCAAATGTAGTATTTTAATTCCACAGCAGAGGAAGTTATGATTAGTTCTAGGAAAAAAATATATCGTTATTGATATCAGTTATCGGCCAAATAAGTTTTAACATATCGGCATATCGGATATCAGCCCAACATCCAATATCATGCATCCCTAGACATTTTGATCAACTTTTGGCTGCAAATTTACCTGCAGTAATGATTTTGGAGAAAATAAATCTAGTATAAGTTTTCCTTAGAACCCCTACAAAGGCTCTCAACAGGTGAGGCTCTCCAGAAAGAGCATCCTTTCAGACACACGTGCGACACACACCTGTCGTCATCCTTCTGTGTGTCGCTGTAAAGACGCAGCATCTCTCGAGGAAAGTCCACGTGTGTACAGTCAGAGCCCACAAATCACCCACTTAAAACCTGGCGCTATCACCGACGCACTCCAGCTGCTTTTACTGACTCACCCCTCTCAAACTGAAGCTTCTTGTACCTCTGCATCATCTCCGTAGCCACCATGCACTCAATCTGTAGAGAGGGAGGAGACAAAATGACATGAAATCTGTCTGCAAGAAGCAATTTCACAATCATTGGAATTATTCTGAACAAAATCTAATTTCTACATGATCCAGTCTTGCCACTTCTTTGCCTGTAAGGACTTAATTCTCATTTTCACAGAGAAATTCAACCACTGCGATGTGCACATACAGGCTCCCTTTAGGGGTTTAGTGTAATCATCGAACGATCAATGAAACGAACAATCAGGATTGCAAACGAGAATAACAACAAGGTGAAGTTACTGCTGACGGAACAGAAAGATATGAGACTGGGAGACTGGCAAGGGTGGTTAAGGTTTCACTGAGACTCAGTGATACTAATTGATTCTAAATGTCTTGCTGCAGTGAGCAGAACCAAGATAAGACAGCACTAAAGAATGAACCCATCAGGACAAACTGAAAGAGGAACAGGAGCTATTTCCAGAAGTTTAGATAAAACATAACAGGATACAGAGAGTTCTACACGGGTACATCTTTGTGTCAGAGGAAAAAGAAACGAAAAGCAACCTGAAATAAGATGGGCACAATATAGTATGAACTAAAGCCCGGCCAATATATCAGTAGGGCCGATATTTTAGGTCGCTATTTTAGGCTGATATTTAAACCAGCCACTAGGGAGCACAAGCCAGTGTATCGCCTGTGCCAGTCCCAAGCCCGGGTAAATGGTGAGGGTTGTGTCAGGAATGGCATTCATTGTAAAACATTTTTGCCAAAACTATAATGCGAGTTCATCAAAGCAAAACCATACCGGATCGGAAGAGGCCCGGGTTAACAACGACCGCCACCGGTGCTGTTGACAAAAAGGGTGCCGGCAGTAATTGTGCTACTGTTAGTCGAAGACCACGAGGAGGGAAACATGTCAGGAGACAGAGGGAGAAGAGGAATGTGAAGAATGTAGGACTGAGGGTTGCAACTCTAAATGTGGTGACAATGACATGCAAAGGTTGAGAGCTGACTGACATGATGCAGAGAAGGAAGGTAGATGTTTTATGTGTCCAAGAGACCAAGTGAAAGGGCAGCAAGGCTCACAGCATTGGAGCAGGGTTCAAACTGTTTAACCATGGTGTGGATAGAAAGAGAAATAGAGTAGGGGTGGTCCTGAAGGAGGAGTTGGCAAATAATGTAGTAGAGGTGACGAGAGTGTCAGATAGGGTGATGTGCCTTAAGGTAGAAGAGGAAGGTCTGATGCTAAACATAGTTGGTGGTTATGCTCCACAGGTTGGATGTGATAAGGAGGAGAAGGATGCATTTTGAAAATATCTGGATGAAGTGATAGAGAGTATTCCCAGGGAGGAGAGAGTGGTGATCGGAGCAGACCTGAATGGACATGTTAGTGAAGGAAACAGAGGGGATGAGGAAGTGATGGGCAGGTTTGGTGTCAAGGAAAGAAACCAGGAAGGACAGAGGGTGGTGGACTTTGCCAAGAGAATGGAAATGGCTATAGTCAATACCTATTTCCAAAAGAGGGAGGAACATAGAGTGACCTATAAGAGAGGAGGAAGGAGTATGCAGGTCAACTACATTCTGTGTAGAAGAGGAAACCTGAGGGAGATTGGAGACTGTAAGGTTGTGGCAGGGGAGAGCGTGGCCGGACAGCATCGGATGGTTGTGTGTAGAAAGACTGTTGCTGTGAAGAAGAGAAAAAGAGTAAAATCAGAGAAGAAGACCAAATGGTGGAAGAAGAAGAAGGAAGAATGTTGTGAGAAATTCAGAGAAGAGCTGTTAAAGGCTCTGGGTGGTAAGAAAGTGCTTCCAAATTACTGGGCTACTACAGCAACAGTAATAAGAGAGACAGGTAGGAAGGTACTTGGTGTGTCATCTGGACAGAGAATGGATGATAAGGAAACCTGGTGGTGGAATAGTGAAGTGTAGGACGTTGTTCAAAGAAAGAGATTAGCCAAGAAGAAATATGACAGTGAGAAGACTAAAGAGAGGAGACAGGAATATAAGGAGATGGGACGTAGAACAAAAAGGGAAGTAGCTAAGGCAAAGCAGAGGGCGTATGATGAGTTGTATGGGAGACTGGACACTAAAGAGGGCGAGAAGGACTTGCACCGATTGGCAAGACAGAGGGATCAGGCTGGAAAGGATGTGCAACAGATTAGGCTTATTAAAGATAGGAATGGTAATGTTCTAACAAGTGAGGAGAGTGTGACGGGAAGATAGAAGGAGTACTTTGAGGAGCTAATGAATGAAGAGAATGAAAGAGAAAGAAGAGTAGAGGTCATAGAAACTGTGGACCAAGAAGTGGGAAAGAATAGTGAGGGTGAAGTCTTGAAAGCTCTGAAAAGAATGAAGAAGGGGATGGCAGTAGGACCTGATGACATACCAGTGGAGGTTTGGAAATGGCTTGGAGAGATGGCAGTGAGGTTTTTGACTCAAATATTCAATGTCATATTTGAGGGTGAGAAAATGACTCAGGAATGGAGAAGAAGTGTGCTGGTGCCCATTTTTAAGAACAAGGGTGATATACAGAATTGTAGCAACTACAGGGGAATTAAGTTGATGAGCCACACGATGAAGATCTGGGCGAGAGTTGTGGAAGCAAGACTTAGACAAGAGGTGACTATCTGTGAGCAGCAGTATGGTTTCATGCCAAGAAAGAGCACCACAGATGCCATTTTTGCTTTGAGAATGCTAATGGAGAAGTACAGAGAGGGTCAGAAAGAACTCCATTGTGTCTTTGTGGATTTAGAAAAAGCATATGACAGAGTGCCAAGAAAGGAGGTGTGGTATTGCATGAGGAAATCTGGAGTAGCAGAAAAGTATGTTAGACTGGTACAGAACATGTATGAGGACAGCAGGACAGTGGTGAGATGTGCTGTAGGAGTGACAGATAGCTTCAAGGTGGAGGTGGGATTGCATCAAGGATCGGCTCGGAGCCCCTTCTTGTTTGCTCTGGTGATGGACCGACTAAAAGATGAGGTCAAGCAAGAATCCCCATGGACGATGATGTTTGCAGATGACATTGTGATTTGTGGTGAGAACAGGGAACAGGTGGAAGAGAACTTGGAGAGGTGGAGGTATGCACTTGAAAGAAGAGGAATGAAAGTCAGCTGTAGTAAGACATAGTACATGTGTGTGAATGAGAGGGAGGCTGGTGGAACAGTGAGGCTACAAGGAGCAGATGTCACAAAGGTGCAGGACTTCAAACACTAGGGGTCCACTGTCCAGGAAAATGGGGAATGTGGTAAAGAAGTGAAAAAGAGAGTCCAAGCAGGATTGAGTGGATGGAGAAAAGTTTCAGGAGTGATTTGTGACAAAAAGGTGTCAGCAAAGGTCAAAGGAAAAGTTTACAAGACAGTGGTAAGACCAGCTATATTGTATGGTCTGGAGAAAATGGCATTGACAAAAAGACAGGAGAAAGAACTGGAAGTGGCAGAAATGAAGATGCTAAGGTTCTCCTTAGGAGTGACAAGGCTGAATAAGATTAGGAATGAGATCATCAGAGGTACAGCACAGGTTGAACAACTGGAAGATAAAGTTAGGGAGGCCAGACTGGGATGGTTTGGACATGTCAAGAGGAGAGACCGTGGGTATATTGGTAAAAGGATGTTACAAATGCAGCTGCCAGGAAAAAGACAAAGAGGAAGGCCAAAGAAGAGATATATGGATGCAGTTAGAGAGGACATGAAGGTAGTTGGAGTGAGGACAGAGGATGCAGAGGACAGAGTGAGGTGGAGGAGGATGACTAGCTGTGGCGACCCCTGAAGAGGGAAAACCCAAACGAAGAAGAAGAAGAAGATTTTAGGCCGATATTTGAGGCCGATATTTGAGGCCGATATTTGAGGCCGATATTTGAGGCCGATATTTGAGGCCTATATTTGAGGCCGATATTTGAGGCCGATATTTGAGGTCGATATTTGAGGCCGATATTTGAGGCCGATATTTGAGGCCGATATTTGAGGCCGATATTTGAGGCCGATATTTGAGGCCGTTATTTGAGGCTGATATTTGAGGCCGATATTTGAGGCCAATATAGGCGTTTGGGGACATATTGGTATTGGTGATAACTGTCCCATAATGTACTGATATAAACAGTGGGAACAAGCCATGTCCTTACTTGAAAAAGGCATAATGATACAATGTATTCATCAGAGGGCGCATGCGGACTACTTTCAAGTTATGGCCGTACACTTTAACTTTCAGCACAGCCAAAGCAGCGAAAAATACTGTGTAGTGTATTTTGCTGAACAGAGCCTGGTAAGTTTATTGTAACTGGTTTGTAAAATAAAAAAAATAAAAAATCAACAAAAATAAATTCTCTTCAATCCTCCAACTTGCTTGCCATTAGCTACGTGCCTCTTAAGTTAGCAAACTAACGTTTAGATAACCTAGCATAGTCTATTGTATAGTAAAATTTTTTCCAGAAAAATAAATCTAACGTAGAGGTAAAATATATCAGTGTTAGTAAATGTATCTTTGTCATCCTCAATGAGATGCATTGTTTGTCTGAAATGTTTACTTCTCTGAAAAGGGGGAAAAAAAAAAAAAAACACAGCAGCGGTCAATACTAATTAGATCTTCACCATACATGGCTGAATGTTTAAACAGTGAACAGGGAAGGGTGTTTATTTGTTTAATTTATATTTTTGTAACACATCTGATAACTTTATGGTGACTAGTGGAGGATAGAAAATGTGAACGCACATTAGGAAGACTGCTTCAAGACCAATTGGTAAAACGGGTTTAAAAGTAGCTGTTTCTTAGTTTCTTGGGGGTGGACAATGCTCACAAAATGTCAACCATTATATTGGTTATTGGCATTAGCATTCCCCACCCAATATAGGCATCGTGATAGCCAAAATTTCCATATCAGTCAAGAGCAACTGCTCAAAACTGGGCATTGACTTAAAAAAGAAGCAGTTCTTTGTAATGCCTGTTCACAAATGTGTGAGGATAACAAAGTAGGTTTTGTGAATAAAATCTGCTCCAGTGCGAATAGAAGTATCAACATATGTCACGAGGACCAGCAAAGCAGAAAGCCGACTTATTTTAACTATACCTCATTTTCCAGTAAGTGTCCTCTTTTGGGACAGGCAGAGTCGGGACAGCTAATAGCAATTTCAAGGCCTTCTTTAATCAGGAGCTCCACGTACTGCTTCAGGCACTGAAAAGACAAAAAAAGTCAATTTGATGCAAAACAGAACAAATAATAAATGAAACATAGATACAAAATATGAATAATTATGGCTCTGGCTGTCTGCACCATTTTTTTTTCAATCTATAACTGTTAAACTGAATAGAAAAGACCTGCATTAAAAATAAAACAATTAAAAATAATCAGAAGATGGAAAACTGTATGGTTAATTTCACAAAGCTTAAACAAACTTGCACATCAGTTGCTTCATGTCCATGCCATTCATTTTGCAAAACTATTTTTATTGTGGAAATAAAACGTGTAAATTAAGCAGCTCATTTAAAGTAGCTCAAACTTCTTGTGTTTCTAATGCAGCTGCATTTGTTCTCTGAACTCTGGTTAACTTCTGTCACCACCCAGTCTGCGTTTGAGGAAGTCGCAGCTATGTTTGGAGCCCAATTCAGAGATTTTATTTCTTATCATGACTCAACATATCAGTATTAAAAGGAAAACTGCCTTTACTTTACTTTTTTCCCTGTCTCACATGTTTCTCATAAATTCAACGCTTATTTCTGCCACAATGCAAATTGTTTTCTCATGAATTCTGACTTATTTTCTTCTCAGATTCTGAGATTAAAGTCAGAATTCAGGAAAAAAATGAAATTATTTGCACCAAGGCCCTAACATGGTGAAACTTCTTTATGACTTTTTGGTATTACAAACACACAGTTTCATTTGTACACTTTCTATGCTGCATTTAAACCCATAATGTTTTGTTTTTAATCCTTTGTGAGTTTGTTTTGTGGAAAGCATAAATGTTCGCATTTTGTTGAAACGTGCAACAAGCCTGCTGGAGATCAGTGGAAACTCACCAGTGTACAGAAGACACATTGGCACTGTGTGATGGTGGTCATCTGCTCCAGAGGGAACTCTCCAAGGCACAGTTTACAGGAAACCAGGGGGTCCACGGCCAACTCCCATGTGGGACGGTACCGTGCCGTGGTCATCTTTACCACCACAGAGCTGAGAGGTGCAAGAGAAAAAACTAGTTAATGAAAGTGGGATTTCTTAAAAGCAACAAATACGTTTGGCAACTTTTCACATCGACATTTTAAACAATGATTTTGTGTGATCTGAATATGTGTTAGGACTGTCAACTATTACCACAAATTACCAATTTTAAGCACAATTTATGTAAATCTGACAAAGTTACAGTAACTTTTAAGTTAAATCTGATTAGCTGTGGCAACCATCTTTAATTAGATTGAGCCCAAAAGGTAATCCGTTGCAGATGTACATTAAATCATTAGATGAGAATTAAATTAATTACAATTTATCCAGTGGCACATACAATATGTTGCTAACAGACAATGTTGACTCAAACAGATATTACCAGATTTTTAAACAGAATAGTTCATGCAATCTGTTAGTGCTCTGAGTATATGCTGGGGATGACTCTCATCTACTGTCACACCAGATTTTAGCTCCGTATCTCGAAAACAGACTTCGTTATAGCCATTTTTTAGTTCTCATGTTGATTAAATGTGGCGACCACCTTAAACTGTGTTGATTTCACAAGTTAATCAGTTTTAGGTGTGCATTTAATGATTACTTCCTGAGTTTTGTTCAAATCTGTTCAAGAGTTTTTGAGATATTTTGCTAACAGACAAACAGGCACATGCAGGCAATTACATAATTGCCCACTTTTTTACAGCGGCAGGCCATAATTAAAGTATATGGATCTAGAAGAACATGAATATCAATGACAAAAAGCCTATATATCTTTAGTTTAGTTGCATAATACACTCTACATAATAGAGTCAATGACTCTCATTGAATCAGCCTGACTCTATGAGCACACGAGTGAAAATGCACTGAGAGTGTTGTCTGGTAAAAATCTAAACACGCTCACAAAAAAAAACTTCTGTTTGCAAACGGACACCAGCTTTACAGCATACACGGTCAATTTCAGCTGTGTTTAGATTCAGCCTCACACTTTAGGGCACCGACGAACACATAACACGAAAGCGCCTGACATCCTGCGGTCATCCACATCATCCACCTCCTGTGAAATTTTCCCTCTGACTTAAACAACATGACCCCCCCTCCTCAACTGTGCGTCTATGTCTCTATTGTGAGAGGCAGAAGGGGTTATTTTAGGCCGTCTCGTCTCACTCTCTGCAGCTGAGAGCAAAGAGCACCCGCTCGACTGTTTACAGGAAGTGGCTCTGCGCGCACCGCGTCAGCACCGTCAAGCTCTCCTCCTGCTGCTTAGCAACCAGCAGAAGGAGGATTTTAAAGATGAAGGGTGCATGGATGGGGGAAGGGGAGAGGAAAGCAGAAAAGGAGAGCATCTTGTCAATGGTCACAGTCTGTCTCAGCTGTGGACGGCCTGCTGGCAGGAGGACAATGGACGAGAGGAAGGGTGGGGGTTCAAGAGTTCATAGAAAAGCTCCATGGGCTCATGCCATCTCCATGTCCTGCCCAGCAGCACAGTGGGGGAGCACCATAATGCGGGCGCTAAACTTATAAACAAAAACTTACATGGCAGTTCGTATATATACATATATACTGTATATATACACACACACAACCTGGAATATAAAAATAGTTTGATTGTTATGTAAAATATAATTTAAAAAGCACAAATGATTTGCAAAACATACAGTATAAATCCATATTATATTCACAACGAACCGTAAAAAAAATATCAACTGTCTAAACTGACAAATTATGTTTGTTTGTTTTAATTAAGAAAAACAGTAATCTTGACATTTTCAGTAGTAATATATACCGGTATACATCTAAAACTGCTTTGAAGGCATGCTGTTGTAATGAACGCAGAATGAGAGTTGGTGTTGTCCTGCAGAAACGGGTAAAGGCTTCCACGAAGAAGACGGTCTGTATTGGCAACAAATGTTCTTCATCCTGTGTAGACCTTTCTGCATTGATGGTGCTTTTTTAGTGTATAATTTGACAACGCCACAGGCACTAATGCACCCCCATAACATGAGAGAGGCAGGCTTTTGTGCTTTGATAACAGGTCCCTCTCATCTTTGGCATGGAGAATGAAGCATTAATGGTTTCCAATAAGAATTTCAAATGTCAGTTTGTCTGATCACAGAACAAACTTTGCCTCGGTCCATTTATGAGCCTTGGCCCAGAGAAGACGATGGCGTTTCTGGATGGTGCTCACAAATGACTTGTTTTTTGCATGACAAAGCTTTAATCTGCATTTGTGGATGGCATAGCAAACCGTGTTTACAGACAATGACTTGTTTATGTGTTCCTTAGCGCATGCAGCGATGCCATAAAAGAAAGATCTGTTTTTAATGCAGTAACATCTGAGGGCCCAAAGACCACAGGCATCCACGTGTGACGGTCAAACGTGTCTTTTGCAAACAGAAAATTTGAACACATTTATTTTTCATGATTCCTGAATTGTTTTGACAATATTATGAATTGTAAATGATTGAATATTCAAAGTCAGCCCTTCTCTTTTCATTTTTTGGCTCAGTGGTTAGCACTGTTGCCTCACAGCAAGAAGGTCCTGGGTTCAATCCCCAGTTAGACCTGGGGTCTTTCTGTGTGGAGTTTGCATGTTCTCTCCGTGCATGCGTGGGTTTTCTCCGGGTACTCCGGTTTCCTCCCACAGACCAAAAACATGCATGTTAGGCTAATTGGTAACTCTAAATTGTCCCTAGGTGTGAGTGGGAGAGTGGATGGTTGTTTGTCTCGTTTGTCTCTATGTGTCCCTGTGATGGACTTGCGACCCGTCCAGGGTGTACCCCGCCCCTCGCACAGTGATTGCTGGACATGGGCACCAGCGACCCCCGTGACCCAAAATGGAATAAGCGGGTAAAGAAAATGGATGGATGGATGGATGGATGGATGGATAAAATATGTATTTGTTATTGCATTACAGTGACAGTTTGTCAGTACAAATGAACAAAGTTCATTGTCAGGAATTGTTATCGAATAATTATGGTGTCCTAAAATAAAAGTCAGCACTTGCTAAAGAACTGATAAGATGATCGACAGTTCCACCTCTCCAACAAGACTCGACCTTGAAATATATTCACTGAACTGCAGCTGCATTTAACAAAGCAGCTGCTAAACACTTTGATTAAAAGCCTATAGGGACATGATTCAACACTTCTGTATCTCTAAACGGTACAGCAGATGGCTGTTCCAGGAGAAACTGAAATTAGTCCATGTTTCTCCTTCTTTATACACAGGGATTTAAACTATGCAGAGCCAGACGCTGGCTCTCACAGTGCTTTCACACTTGAATCTATTTCTCTTCTTGCAGGCTTTCCATCAGCTTTACAAATATAGCAACAGACTGGATCGATGGGAACAAATGAAATGGTTTCATACAGATGGTCTGAGAGACAGAGAGTATGTGCTCAAGTGAAATAGGTGGATTTTTTTTATGCATTATTAATTAGATGGTCCATTATGTTGGAGAAAAACACACGCGTAAACCCCCACCCCATAATGTGCTTAAGTAATGAGGCCATGCATGAGCTTTCTGTCATCTTATTGCAAACACAGCCTCTCAAAGTGTCATATGTCTGAACAGTTCAGGCAAAAGAGAATTAGAAAGAAAAATATATCAATAATGTAGGAGTCAGAGGTCCAACATCCATCTTAAGTGATGGTCACTATGTGTCACTCATCATTCTGAAATGACTGCACTTAAATAATAACTGACTGCAGCATGGTTCATGCACTAATGACTCCACAGCCAGGAGAGAAACACACAAGACATGCATTAACAAACCACTGCATAATGAGTGAAAATGGTACACTGCAAGAATAAAGTAAATGGAGCTTCTTCCTTCAGCAGAATCCATATAATAACAGCCATATGTTTTTTAATGCAGTGACTTCTGAGGGACAAAAGACCCCAGGCATCCAAGTGTGACTTTCAAACATCTCTTTTGCAAACAGAAAGTATGCACACATTTATTTTTCAATTAATGCAGTAACAGCTGCATATAATATCCATAAAATCTATCCATATTCTCTGAAAATTATCAGAAACGTGGTATTCTATGTAACATATAAGAGATGTTTGGGTCAATTGTTGACACACTGGAAAATAATTGTTTGCTTTTTGGAACTCCCATGCAGAAGTCTCCTGGAAAACTTATAATGGGATGTGACACTGCTTTTACAGTCCTGTTTATTTACTACTGGGCATGTCACGATAACCAATTTTGCTGGGCGATTAATTGTCTCAAAAATTATTACAATAATATTGTTTGAAATTTAACAATAATTAGTAATTCAAAAAGCGTTCAATACAAAAACAACTGGACTTTATTTGTAACAGAAGACGTTTCGCTCCTC